AGGGTTTAGGGCCTTAATAATTGGAATAGGGTTTTCGGGGTTCCTTATTATAAATAGGTTTAATGGGGCCTTTAATATTGGGAATAGCGTTCCTTTCAAGAGCCCCTTCAAGGGATTCTATAAGGGTTACTTTAAGGGCCTTAATAATTAGAATAAGGTTTTTTTGGGGTTCCTTATTAGAAATATAGTAAAATATACCCCAAACCCTGTTCTAATTATTAAGGCCCCTACAATAAAAAGGCCTTGGGGTTTGGGGTTTTAGGATTTAGAGCTGCGCTAATAAGCCGTAAGTACTTCAGATTTACTCCAAGAATTAGATGCCGAGATTGGGGTACACTTTAGAGAGATTTACTTCAAGAATTTCAATAGGTTTGGGGTACCCTATAGAGAAGCTTTAGAACAAGGCTTGTCGACCGAACGATAGAGTAGATACAGCGAGGAGCCAGGATATTGACACTTTGGTGGGGGCTGCAACATAATGAGTATTGTAAAAATATTCATGAGAAACAACGATAACACTAGTTAAACAGTTCTAATGCTTGAATTCAAATTGATACAGAGCCATGACAAATAATGTTAGTATATTGGAGATCTGACTGCTGAGGGAAAGCTCTGTTGTCTCTGGTTCGAACCCAAAGGCATGCGCAGACGTGCTTGATATCAAGATCCTAAACCCTAAACATCCCTAAACCCTAGACCGTCCTACACCCTAAACCCTCATCCCTGAACCCTAACCCCCAAGACCCAAGACCTAGACAGAACCTGCGAGCACTAGAGTTTAGCAGAGTGTGGCCTACCTCTTAGTCCCGATCCGAAGCCGCGTGCACAACCTCAAGCCCCCAAAACTCCGCCCCTACCTTCAGGACGTAATCAGCCCTAAATGGGTTTATAGTTCAAACACCATGAGGTTCATAGTATGACGGTATAGGGCCCCTACTTTTACGGGTCATTGGGTCCTTAAGGTGTGCCGTGGAACCCCACCTGCACAGCTTAAGTCGTCGATCTGCAACACCCTAGCCTCAACTCAACCAGGTCCATAACCCGTGCAAGGATGAGGTGTCCATCAGAACCCGGGAAAACAACGACAAAACCCAGTAGTAAACTGATTGAAGCTCTCTTCCAACGCTAAACCCTCAACCCTAAACACAAAACCCTAAACCCTAAACCCGAAACCAGACCAGTAGTGGCCTGAACCCTTGACACCTCAACTCCCTTGGCCTGAGCAGCAAACGGCTTCCTGTGCAGCTCGGATGGGTTCTGCAAAGGCTTGGGGTTTAGGGGTGTAGGGTTTAGAGAAACACAAAGATCCTGAACGTTTGGATACCTGGCTTTCAAGCGAAAAAGGGGCGAAACGGGGATATTGTTGCTACAGGGTATGGGTCATTTAGGCTTTTCACTGACCTGTCCAGCGCATAGGACGGTTCTTTTGTCCAGATAGCAAAGCACTTCCAAGGAACCCTAAACCCTGAACCATTGCTCACTTCGAGCTCAGCTCGCCGCCGTAAGTATCCCCTCACATATACACATAATATATTTATATATATATATACATATACATATGTGTATGTGCAAATATATATATATATGTTATATAAATAAATAAATAAAGAAATACATACATAAATAAAAATATATATATATATATATATATATATATATATTTGTATGTGTTTAGGACCACTGGGTCAGCTGTCGTAATGGCATGGGCAGTCGAAGAGTTGTCGGTGCATGCTTAGGCCATGTAGTTTGTAGTTCAAGACCACCTTTTCTCCCATGAACAAGCCTTTTATGGCCTCTGGTGGTAGGTATCTAAGGTCCAATAGAGGGTATATGGAGGGTCTAGTTAGGGATTCGGGTTTTCTTGCTTTCGTTGCTACAAGCGTCCAGCATCTGTTCTCGCATTCTGGATTACTTGAATTCGGGGACAGCACAGACCAAACAAAGGCAGTCTTGCAGAAAATGGCCCTGAGATGGAATCGTATCTGTTCCTGAATCTCCTCCCCTAAACCCTCAATAAACCCTAAACCCCAAACCCTAAATCCTAAACCCCAAAACCCTAAACCCTCCATCCCCTGAATATGTTCTGCTGCAATAAGAAAACCGGAAAACCTCAAACCTCAAACCTAGGCCAGCCCACCATCATGGGGACCATAAGGGCATAATGTAAGGGCCTTAATGATTCGAATAGGGTTTTGGGGCCTAATCTTACTATAACTATAATAAGGACCCCCCCCCAAAAAAAAAAAATGATATTGGTAATTATTTAGGCCCCTACATTCCCTAAACCCTAAGCCCTAAACCCTAAACCTCCCTAAATCCTAAGCCCGTTATTAGGGCCTACCATAATTTTTGTATTCGCGCCAATCTTATCCTCGGGCTAGAATCCTAAGCACACCTCTCTGGCAGCTGCGTTGGGACGATGATGGCCGTGAGGGCCGCCATGACCATGGAAACCCACACGAGAACCAAGTGAACCTCAAGGCTGGGGTTTAGGGTTTAGGGTTTAGGGTTTAGGGTTTAGGGTTTAGGGCAAGTCGGCCTGCGGCCTACGGGTTTGGGGTTCAAGGTTTAGGGGTAGGGGGTTTTGTGCCGGCGGGAGACCCGAGCCTAGTAGGATCCAATCTTAAACGACCTTCTGCTTGTCAGTACTAACTGGGGAGTTCCGAAAATAGGTGACCCTAATATAGTACCCTAAATAATAGGATCCCTATTATCAGGACCCCCAATAAGGTACCCTAATTTTCTGAAACTCCCAGGTCGCTGCCAAGCTTGTACTAAGAGCCCTAGACTCGGACCCAACACCCCAAACCCTACACCCCAAGCCCTGCAGGCGTGAAACCCTGAACCCTGGCCCTAAAGCGCGGTCCAGGTAACTGTTTCAGTCCGAAATCACAGCCCGCTGGAGCTGCTGTATTTTCAGGTTGTCCTTAAGGGATCATGGGACTTAGTAAGTAGGGTTTAGGGTTTAGGGTTTAGGGTTTAGGGAATGACTTAAAGGATCATGGGACTTNNTAACTATACTTGTAACCCCAATTAAAGGACTTATAACCTTACCTACTAAGTCCCATGATCCTTTAAGTAGGCTTAGTTTACGGGAGCTGAGTGAGCCAGGGTTAAGGTAGGGTGTAGGGCGAGTGAGTCACAGAATCATCTTACTTTCGGCACCTAAACCCTAAAACTCTAAACCCTAGGCCCTAAAGCACCCTAAAAACTCCAAAGCCCCAAACATTGCTCAACCCTAAACCCGAAACCTACCTGGAAGCTTTACAGGCACATGGCCCCAAACCCTAAAAGCACCTAAAACTCGAAAAGCCCCAAACATGGAAGCCCTTGCAATGCACAGCAGCAGAAGAGGATGCAGCCCAGGCCTCGAACCACGACGAACCCCCAAAGCAAAAGTCCCCACTTAAAGGATCATGGGACTCAGTAAGTAGGGTTTAGGGTTTGGGTTTTAGGGTTTTAGAGTTTGGGGTTTTGAGGTTTAGGGTTTAGGGAATGACTTAAAGGATCATGGGACTTAGTAATTAGAGTTATAACTAAGGTAACTACACTTATAACACCCAATCAAGGGACCCATAACCTTACTTACTAAGTCGCATGATCCTTTAAGTCATTCCCTAAACCCTAAACCCTAAACCCTAAACCCTAAAACCCTAAAACCCAAACCCTAAACCCTCCTTACTAAGTCCCATGATCCTTTAAGCAAGTGCCCTTTCAAAGAGACCTCGCGGGGTTTTTAATCGTGGGACGTTAGGATAAGAATAGACGGTGGTTGGGGTGTCCAAGTGAACCCAAACGCCAAATCTTAAGCCCTAAACCCTAAACTCCTAAACCCTAAACCTCTAAACCTCTAAACCCTAAACCCCTAAAGCCTAAACTAAATCCTAAACCCTAAGCCCCAAAACTCAGGAGACGAGGAGCCCATGCCATCATGCTCCGCGGCGAGACCTGAGAAATATCGAGAGCGGTGTTGGGTTTAGGGCTTTGGGTTTAGGGTTTAGGGTTGAGGGTTTAGGGCTTATAGTCTTCATGGCTTTCGCTTACAGGAGTCATACATATATATATATATAGATAGAAACCTTTAGGGCTTAACCTTTAGGGTTTTAGCTTACAGGAGTGAGAGAGAGAGAGAGAGATATATATATATATATATATAAATATGTAGAAACCATAAACAGGAACCCTAAGAAGGGTTTTTCCGGCTACAGCTAAGGCTTCTTTCTCAAATCACTTGGCGGCCCGACGCGCTCTGCATCGGCCGCCCCTCCCGAGATCGCTGCTCGGGCGACGGAGTAGACCAAAGGACCTTGAACAGTTTAGGGGTTTTTTGATGCTGAGGGATTTAGGCTTTAGGATTTAGGGTTTAGGGCGAACAGTTTATCGGTTCAGGGGTTTAGGGAAGGTTTCAAGGTTTTGGACTTTGGGGCTTTAAAGCTCTAGGGTTTGGGGGATTTAGGGATTGGGTATTGAACGGTTTAGGGTTTAAGGCTCTTAGAGCTGAATTAGAATAAGGTTTTGGGCTCCGTTATAGTATATCTATATTAAGGAACCCTAACAATAACGTTGGTAGTTATTTAGGCTTCTATAGTCTTAGGGGTTTTAGGGGTTTAAGAGCAAAGGCAGTGCGGTGCAGGGTCGAAACTTAGGGGTTCTGGCTCGGGTTCCCGCAAAGGAGCTTTTGAATGAAAGCTGTCGGATGGCTTGATCAACCTCCCATGCTCAGCCGTCTAGATGAGAGGTATATAAGGACTATACAATGGTTGCTTAAGGTAATGGGATTAAGGGTCCCTACTTGGAGGGTCGGGGGACTTAGTAAATGGTTATTTTGTAGACTTATTTATACGTATTCCTTTTGAGGGTACTTAACTTAGAAGTCTTCTTATTACCTACTTACTAAGTCTCCCAACCCTCCAAACAACCTCCCATGCTCACCCGTCTTCAGAAAAGTAGGATCTTCGAGCTTTGCATCTCCGTCTTCATGGTAAATGTGGGGGCCTTCATAATTAGAATAAGGTTTTGGGCTCCGTTATAGCATATTGATAATAAGGAACCCTAAAAATAATACTGGTAATTATTTACGCTTCTATAGTAAGCTTCTTACCTTGCAATTCGGGTGAGCCGACCTATGGGGGCCGGAATATACACATACGGTTGATGATATAAATCCTGCATTACCCATAGTAAGACTTATACCATAATTCCCATAGTTTACGGTCCTTAAGGTAATGCAGGATTTCTATCATCAGCAGCATCACTCGGAGTAGCTATGCTCTGATTCAACAAATCCCTAGGCCCCTAAACTACAATGCCCGAATGTAAAGGCTTTGTGAAGCACAATGGGGTTTGGGGCTCCTTTGTAGCCTTTAAATAGGCAAGCCAAATCTTGGTAGTTATTTAGAGGCTTCTACCTAAACCCTAAACCCTGAACCCTGAACCCTAAACCCTGAACCCTAAACCCTAAACCCGGCAGAAGCCATGAAGCAGGACAGCCAAGCTGCCCAGCATCAGGCCCATACTCCGGGAGCACTGTCCCAGAGTCATCCAGAAGGTGCGATTCCTTGCAGCTCGTTTTGTAACCCTAAACCCTAAACCCTACACCCTAAACCCTAAACCCTGAACCGGATGTTTATAGGTTCAGAGGTCTACTTAAACGGTCAGGGGACCTAGCAACTTGGGTTCTCTAAAGTAAGGCTAGTATACTTTATAGCCCCCAATTACAGAGCTTATAAATCTTACTTCCCAAGTCCCCTGATCCTGTCAGTAGGGTCGAATATAGGGGCCTTAATAATTTCAATCGGGTTTTGGGGCCCATGATACTACAACAATAAGGGGCCCTCAAAATTATTTAGGTGATCCTTGAAGCCCCTATATATCAGGGGGTTTCGGGTTTGGGGGTTCTAGGAGTCCAAAAATCCTTGAAGTCTGAACCCTAAACCCTAAACCGTTAGGAGCCCAAAAATCCTAAACCCTAAACCGAAACCCTAAACCGCAAGGAGCCCAAAAATCCCTGAAGTCTGAACTGTTGGGTTTGGGGTGCCAAGTTCCGGGCCGAATTTAGGGTTCAGGGAAGGCTCCAGTTTAGGGCTTAGGGTTTAGGGTCTAGGGTTTAGGGTTCGGGCTTAGGGTTTAGGGTTTAGGGTTCGGGGCTTAGGGTTTAGGGTTCGGGGTTTAGGGTTTAGGGGTTTCCGAAGTTAAGGAACATCTCTTCAAGTATACCAGAAACTAGGAACCCTAATATGGGTAGTTCTCTATGTTGGGAGTTGCTTTTCGGGGTGCTGCTTATAAGGGTGCCGTGTATTTTCTGGAACCCAAGACGGAAAGGGCCCTGATTTAGAGAGCCACGCATATTGGCTTAAGGGATATTCCTGAAGTAAGGGGGTGGTGGAGTCTCTGGGTAACTTGGCAGCTTGGTGACCTCTCGGTCCAAAACGCCTTGAGTCTATGACTACGAGTACGCCGTCGATCACGACTGCGAGTGCGAGAGCTTAAGAACTTCGGCTGAGACGCAATGCCAGGTACATAAACTGCGCGGGAACGAAGGATGTACAAAAGTATACAACCCCTGTGCAACACAAACTAAGAGGGCGCGGGGCTGCACCTCTGGTAGAGCAGCCCCCGGAACTGCACAACCCCTGCCTGACGTCGCTCATAACGCGACGTCTATGAGCCACCCGCCCGAAAGAACGTACTATAGGGGCCTTAGCACTTTGACTAGGGCTTTGGGATACATTATGGTGGATGTGTTGATGGGGACGAATGGGGGATATGCCCTAGCAATATCCGGACAATAATACCAGGGTTTAGGGTTTTAGGGTAGACCCCCTCTGCTACCATCAAGATCAGATTCTCCGGTGGCGTGATCTCGCTCCAGAAGATCATGATGGGAACGGCCGGCAAGCACATGGTGAATATAGATACCTCCACAAGTGAAGCGAACACAAAATCAAGCCAAGCTGGGACGGGAACCATCTTACCATCCTTTCTGCGGAACGCGGGACACCATCCACGAGGACTGGACGAATGCATGAAATTTCTTGACAGGAAGATGCTCATTTCCCTGTCAACCTACCATTGCATTGAAACCCGACATGTGAGCCTCCAACTCATGCGTCCGAGCCCCGAGCATTTGGTATTCAGTGGAAGCTGTCCGCATGCAAAATCGCACTGGCGAAACCAAGATACTCGCATGTTGCCGTATGTTGCCGTACTCTCCAGCTGTACATCGCTGTGAGCCCTTGAAGCAAGCCGCAGGCAGACCAAATGCGCAACTGAAACCTATCTAGACGTTCCATCCACCCCCTAGTAATCTCAATATCGCTACCATTAGGAGCACGGCTACCAAGAGGGTCTTTGTGGTATAATGTAAGGGTCTTAGTCATTAGAACAGGGTTTGGGGATTCATTCTGCTATATTTAGCATAAGGAACCACCAAAAGACAAAAGGTGATT